AAATAAACCAACAGCAAAAAAAAAAAAAAAAAAAATTGATCAAAGGGGCCTTAAACCCCGAGGCCAAAGTGCGTTTGCATGCAAAATTCACTCTTTTCAGTTTTCGGGATTTTCAGGATTTTTCAGGGTTGGGGGTGTTACCTTGGGGCTGAATAGTGGGGGTCCCTGTTAACCTTTGGTGGACCTTCCTTCCTTCTGATTCTCCATCTACTCCAACTGCAACCGAGCTACCTCTGCAGCCTTACCTACTTCTCCAATATTGAGCTCAGTGACAGGCAACTTGCAATTCCCTGCACTGACTGAACTTTATTCCCCCATTCCAAAAGATTCTTTTCACACAACAAGATAAACGCGAAAGTGTTCAAAGGCTGAAGACCATTCACTGGTCTACTCAGATATGGAATGTGGTGTTGATTCCCAACCCGAACAAGTTAGCAGGCTTGACAGGCTCACGGGAATGGCACTAACCACCAAGACTGACCAACAGGGTTGTACTTCCAATTGCAGTCTTAACTGATCTGTGACCTCCCGCTGATGGGGTCACTTACCGATTCCCAACGCTGCGTAGGACTGTTTTCAGGCGTAGGGACTGACAACAGTGACTGACACCCAATTGCACATGGACCCAACCTCGACCTGCGAATATCTTCCCACAGAAATTTTGTTTATTTGTTAGAAAAACAAATAAAATAAAAGTGGAATACTCGGATTACCGTTCACACTCAGAACCCAGATAATTAGAGTTAGACTGTGTTGTTCATTGGTAAGGGGAAAACGGCAGGTTAGTGCGAAATGTCAAGTATGAGAGGTTATGGGCTCAGCCCAACAGCCAAAACCGTCAACGAATTACTTTAACTAAGCCCACAACCAAATCAGAAACACAAAATTTTATTTTCTGATCAAGCTCACAACAGAGCCTTCTCACAACCGTCATCATTTCACAGCAAGGGAAAGAAATACTTAATTTCTGCAATCAAGAAAAAAAATAAAATAAAAATAAAATCGGAGTGGGTTTCAGAAACCGCCAACGCAGTCTACATTCGTTGCTCTAATCAAGATTGGAATATGCCATTCGACTAAGGACCTTACATCCGATGCAGGCAGAAGTCAATATTAACGGACTGACACTTTTCTGACTGCATATAGTAATTGCCAACAGACAGGACTGACTGACAGACCGAAACAGGCGGCTGAAACAGACACGGTTTACGGTAAGCACTTGCAGTACTGCAGGCAATCACATCAAGCCAGGGTAGGTCAAAGCAATTCCATTATGAGATTAAAACAAACTTACAGATGGGTCAGAAACAGCCAAAACGTTAACTGACAACCGATCTGATCTAGACTGCAAACAGACTGACGACTAGCAGACGCTGACAGACACAGAAAGGGCCTGACGTCGGACCAGGAAATATACGGAACGAACTCACTTGAACGAAACCTGATTGAAGATATACAGGCAGTCAAACATTGACCGCCAATCTGCAGCAGAATACCGTAGAACCAGGCTGACGCTGACGTAGCACCTGCAAGGAAGATTCCCCCAGTCTTCCAATCAAGTAACTCGTCGAAGTAACCGCAACAACGGCCCAGACGGTCGAACACACCGTCAACAGACAAGGGCTGTAACTTGAGGGTCACAAGGCCCTCAGGTCAACCAGTCCACTTAGGATTGATGTGGGGTTCAACTCCACTCTCGCTTCCAACGTTCCACCACTCCGCATCTTTTTTTTTTTTTTTTTTTTTTTTTTTTTTGGATAGCAGTAATTCTCCCCTCGCACACTACCTTCCACCACCTCTCACCAACGGCATCCGTTGAAGAAAGTGAACAACAAGTCCCTACTCCAACCGCCGCTCAGAAAGGAGGTTGCCACTTAATTGCTTGCGGGTTGCACACGGTTGCAGCTCCGATACCAACTGTTATGTACCCGATTAAACTTCCATCCACAATGCATTCACACGTTCCCATACACGCATGCAATTACAGAGTAGACTCGCAGGAGGCAAATCCACACAAAAACGAAGAGAGAATATGCACAGCGGAAGCTCAAAACACACAGAGAATTGAAAAACGAATTTCAATTCTGCAATCCCTCGTCCTCCTCCAATCAATCCAGAGTACTTGTTCCAAGAATCACAACCACGTTTACAACAACAACCCCGAACAACCAGAAACAAGTGTTCAACGAAATATACAGGAGTCTTCTTCTTCCTCCTCGCCACCTCATATCCCAGGCTATGGCTGCCGTTGCAGCAGTAACCCCGCAACTGTCACAACGTGCCAATCTCACGTGCCAATCTGAACCAGCAACCCTGATGATAACAGCGCCAGCTCACCACCCACACGGACGTGCAGTGCTGGAAGTCCTGATGAAGAAGGAGACAACAGTCCCACACTTCCAAGAAGATGGAGTTCCTCATGAGGAGGAACAACAGATATGGCTGCCACCTGGAAAGTGGAAGCGCCCAAACCCAACAACACAGTCCTGTGCAAGCTCTCATGCAAAGCTGCGAAACAGCAGCAGTGCAGTCTTCAACGTCCTTTCCCCAACCCCAGCTATGGCTGGGGTGCGAAGAAGAAGATGACCTCGCCCAAAATAGCACAGCAGCGCTCCAACAACGGACGGGCAGAGTTTCCCCAGTCCACGAAAATGCAAAAGACCCGAAATTCATTTCCTGCCCGCTACTTCTACCCTTTGCCTAGATCTACGATGGACTCCAAAGGCCACAACCCAATACTCATCTGCATCTAGATGGAAACAGGGGGAAAAGGGGACCTAGACCTATGACAAGGCAAAAGGAAAACGTTGAATGGCCTAAGGCTACCAAACAGAGACCAGTAGTGATAGACATAGGGATTGAGTCCCATAGGGCTCAAAACTAACAAACAAAACATAGAAATTACAGGTCACGGGATCAAGTCCCACAAGGCTCAAAACAAGAAAACAAACTACAAAGCCAAACACTTAGTGTACAGCCCCACTGGGAAACTGCGATTTATTGCACACTACAACCCTTTGCAATCAGACTCATTCTCAAACACACTTTTCATGCATGTAAACAGCAACGCAGCATACTGGCGACATGCGCCCACTCAAAACTCAGAGATATGGCTCTCAGATACTAGTTCACTCTCAATTGGCTATGGCGACTTCAGCGCCCAAATATCTCACTGTTCACATACACTGGATCACCCTGGATATCCCACACGCATCACTCTAACACTCAAACACACACACACACTCACTACTAACTACAGCTATGGCAGCTATCGCTGCATCTAACCTATCGCTATGCTAACTACCTCTCTCTTGCCCACTGCGTCCTCCGGGCTCATCTGCAGACCTCCTTGCACAAGTCGCTGTGGCAGCGCTTCCGCATGGCTCACGCAGGAATGAATGAATGGCTGGGCTCTGCCTCTTGATTAATACTTCAGAAACTCGTTGGTCTGCCCTTTGCCATCAGCCCTTGGTGCTCACAGTCCCCCTGTGGTACTTGCTGGACCGGACTGGGACTGACTGGACCTTCCGCTGACTGACTGTGGACTCACCGCTATCCTACCGACGTTGTACTGCTGTTGCACTGCGGTTTAGTCCACCACTTGCCTCACCACTTGACCACTTGCCCACTTGCCTACCTTCTAGAAGGTCTACAGCTAAGCTTCCGGAACTCACTAAGACTTCTACGCTATAGACCTACAGATCGAACCCCTGCTGCCTAGGGACCTACGACAGACCTACCAACTGTCTGCGAATACACAGGTCACAGGTTCAATTCTCGAGATCTATACAGATACTGTACATAGGTAGGGTGAGGTCTAGGGATCGAACCCTGGGTCTACTGCTAAAAGGAGAAAACCGTTTCACTCCCGCCGTCCTAAATTCGAGGTTCTCCGAGAACATTTCAGTCCAAGGCGGGACCTTTACCTTTCTTGTTACGTTCATAGGCTCTGACTATGTCGGGAGCGGTTTCTAAAAGTTCTGTTTTCGTGAACCAGCGGTCGTCTTCCGGTTCCTGATAAGCAAAATGGACCTTATATTGTTTCTGGGGACGACCTCTACCTCCTGTTCTGAACACATCCTCATCTACAATGCCTTCAATGTCATAACTTCCATCCATATCCGGGGGGATCATGGATCTTCTCGAAGGGAACTGTTGAATTGTGACACCCAGCAGCAGCTTTGAAGCATGAAACACAGGGTATGTGTGGAGGTGTGCTGGAATCTCAATGCTATAGGATGGTCCATCCTCTCCGCCCTTGACTTCTAGAACCGGCCACGGTCCTCTACACGCGGGCAGTGACTTCTGCGAGATGTTTTCCTCAGGTGCAAACTCTTTAGCCTTGACCCAGACTAAGTCGCCTACCTGAAACTGCGACGGGCGGCGGTGCTTATTAGCTTGCTCTATCATCCTATGCTGGGCCTTCCTGAGGTTTTCAACAACAGTGGCTAGTTTTTTCTCGTGCTGTATCGCAAACTCCCTGGTACCGGGCGGTAATCTGTGAATCTGATCCCGGTTCAGTCCTTCAAACGGTCTGCGTGGTGGACTTGTGCAACTCATTGGGAGTGAGGCAGGTGGATAGATGCACGGTGTTGTTGTATGCACTAGCTACYTTAGGCAACATCTCATCCCAGTTAATCTGATCTGGTCTAATGTACATGCGCAGAACTTGCTGTAGGATCTTGTTCATCTGTTCTGTCTGACCGTTAGTCTCTGGGTGACGGCCGGACGACATTAACAACTTAGATCCGTAGACTCTCATGAGTTCTTGCCAGTTCTGGCTGGTGAAACGCCTGTCTCTATCACTAACTATTCACACTGGGATTCCATTCTCACTAACCCAAAAGTAAAAAAACTTCTGTATAACTAAGTCCGTACGTGCCTCTGCAGGTAAAGGAACGAAAACTGCATATTTGCTAAAACGGTCAACTACGACCATGACTTGGCTCTTACCATGTCTACTCTTGACTTGGGTGTCCATGAAGTCTATGGACACAGAGTCTCCCGGCTGATCCGGAATAGGCAAGGGTCTGAGAAGACCTAGGGGCGCGCGTGTAGTAGACTTATTCCTCTGGCACACTTTACAACTGGGGGACATACTCTATGCAGTCATTCTTCATCCCTGGCCAGGTATACGCACGCATCAGGTTGGCTAATGTCTTTTGCCAACCGAAATGCCCTTCAGTATCGTGGAATTCCCCTAAAATCAAACTGCGGATCTCTTCGCTGTTGGGAACGCACAGGCGGTCAAACACATTAGTCTTCTCAAACAGCAACCCGTCTGTAGTGCGGTAGTTTGGTTCAGTCTCTGGGGCCTCTCTAACTCTCTTTAGGAGGTCGCTATAGATGGGGTCCTGCACATATTCTTGCCTCACTTTCTCCTGCAGGTCTCTCCCTATATCCAGATAGTGTACTATGGCTCCAAAGTAGTCTGATCTCCTACTCAGAGCATCCGCAACTACATTGTATTTGCCCTTTACTGGCTTGAGCTCAAAGTTGGATTGGTCTATCTCTGCGGCCCACCTAGTCAACTTAGTTGTCATCTTGGCCTGTGTCTTTAGCCAACGAAGTGTGTCATAGTCAGAATACACTTTGAAGTGCCTCCCAAGCAAATAGTGCTTCCAATGGTCTAAAGCCTGCCTGAGAGCGTAGAGTTCTCTCTCGTACGTGGAGGTAGCTACCTTCTCACAGGGCATCCTCGCTGACATGAACTCAACGGGTCTATAGCCATTGCCATCGTCTTGCTGCAACACGGCGCCTATCCCATACTGACTTGCGTCCGTGGTGACGACACATGGCAAAGACGGATCTGCAACTTTGAGGACAGGATACTCTATTAACTCGCGCTTTAGCGTCTTGAGCACAGACGTACAGTCTTTGTCCCATTGCCAGATTGCCTCTTTCTTCAGCAATCGGTGCAAGGGAGCGACGATAGTGGAGAAGTTCCTCACGAACTTCCCGTAGTAGTTAGCTAAGCCTAGGAACGACCGCAGCTTTGTCAATGTTCGGGGCGTCGGCCAATCTCTAATCGCCGCTATCTTGTTGTCCTCTGGCTTAAAGCCATCTCCGTCTAATACGTGGCCTAAATACAGGACTTGCGTTTTGGCCCACTCGCACTTCTTTGCGTTGATCTTGAAGTTAGCCTCTCGTAGCTTCCCCAAGACCTGCCTCAGATGACCCTGATGCTCCTGGAGGGTCTTACTAAAAACTAGGATATCATCTAGATAGACTACAACAAACTTATCTAACCACGGTCTAAACAGATCGTTCATACAACGCTGAAAAGTGGTTGGCGCGTTGGTTAGTCCAAAGGGCATCACTATAAACTCATAGTGCCCATATCTAGTCCGGAACGCAGTCTTGTACTAATCATCAGGATGGACTTCTATCTGATGGTATCCGGACTTCAAGTCTATCTTAGAGAAATACTTACAACCCTGCACCCGATCTAAGAGATCGTCTATCCTGGGCAGTGGCTCAGCATTCTTTACAGTGATCGCATTCAAACCCCTATAGTCTATACACATTCTCAGCTCTCCTTCCTTCTTGGGGACAAACAAAACGGGTGCTCCAAAAGGAGACGAACTGGGCCTGATCCAACCTTTCTCTAGGAGCTCATCTAACTGCTTGCGAAGCTCCTCTAACTCCCTGGGGGACATTCTGTAGACTGCACCCTTAGGAGCTCGACTGTCGGGCTCTATCTCTATTCTGTATGGGTCGCGACACTACTCCTGTCGGCGACTCAGTCAAGTCTTTGAATTCTTCCAACAACTTGGCTATGGTTGGATTTGTGGAACTTATCTCTTCCTTGCCCTCGTTGACAGGTCTAACATACACTACAAAGACCTGTTCCTCTAACTGCTCCTTTTTGACTAATCGTGCGAACACAGGAGCACTGAGACAGCAATGTGCCAAGGTGTTATCTACACCAGACACATGGAACAAGCGGGCAGTCTTAACCTCGCCTGACGGACTAGGGAGCCTACACTCATGCTCTCTTAAATGAAGTGTGGCCCCTACTGCCTCTCCCCAATCCATTCATAACACGATATCGAAAGGAAGGTCATCTTGTACGAGGAGAGTCAGGGAATGGAGAACTTTCTCCACCTTCCCATCCTTCTCTAGGCGAAAATACGCCTGGACTCCCTCTACATAGTCCTCAACTCGCATTGTGCGGTTGTCTGCGAGGACACTGACTATGGGGTCTACTAACTTCTGGACTTTTAGTCCTAGCCTCAGCTTCTTCAGCGCCCTACGGCTAATATAACTACGGGTAGACCCTGAGTCTATGAGGGCCCCTACTCTACTTCTAAAAACCTCTGCATCTACCAAAATCAGTTGTCCTTTACTCTCTTTCTACATCTTGGCCCAGACGGGCATTCTCTCCCGTAACTCTTTTGCCACGCCTGTGAGGGACGTGCCTAAAGAGACGCTAACACAAGCGGTCTCTGGACAGCTACCTAGGCACGGGCCTGCAACCTCTGCCATAGGCTCATGTGGGTTGGGAGTGTCCTGTTCGCGCGCGCTCACTTCTCCACATGGCCTTGAAGTAGGGGCAGTTGCAACCCCTACTGGCGGCTGCCTTTTGATTGCTGGGCAGCCCAACGGGGCTGTCTATACTTAGGACAAAATTTTATTACGTGCGCCGGGTCACCACAGAATACGCACTGACCCATGTTCACGCGTTCCTGCCATAATCGTTGGTCCAAGCCCAAGTCTTCCCAGGGCCTGCCCTGCGGCAAGCCTGGGTGCCATCCTCCTTGAGGTGCCCTTCCACCTCCTCACTGTGGGGACCGGTTACCCTGGCGATTTAACGGGGGACCTTGACCCCTACCTCCCGCTTGGCGGTTTCCTTGGCCGCCAACCCCCTGCGCGCCCGGTCCTCGGCCTCCCATGGCCTGGCCCCTTTGGCCCTGGCCTCCTCCTCTACCTTGCGGCCTCCCTCCAACCGCGACAGCAGCATAGGACCTCCCTTGCCCCACACTACTGCCATCATCCTCGAGGCCCCACTCGATCTGACTATACGGAACCTCGCCTGTACCACCCTCCTCTAAGGTAAGGATCATATGATCCTTGGCCTTGACTTGGCCAGAGATGGTACACCCATTCCACCCTTTTCCTTTTTCCAAGTCTTTGTGCCAGAAGGTGGTAACTGGCATAGACTCTGACTCATACTGGACGACTTCTCTACTGAATGCATCATATGTGATGCCGTCCTGTTGAGATTTGTCAAAGAAATGTTCGCGCAGGGCCTCTGGTATGGCACGATAAAACAATTGGACCAACTGGGTCTCAATGACCCCATGGTCCAGGACGACCACTAAGTCGTTCATGGTACCCTTGAGCGCCCTGGCACTCCTCCACTGTCGTGAGTGGATCGTTTGCAGCTTGTCAGAGGCTCTAATGCCTCGCATTGGGTCAGCAAAACGCTCCTTGAGGAGCTTGAGGAATTGGGAAAGAGGGGTGACTTTGGAATATGCAACCAGGTTGTTCTCACAACCGGCTGTATGCGCGAGAGACCTGGCGAAGCTAGCCGCTTCGTCCTTCAGGGCCTGGAAGGCCACGAGGACTTGCTCCTCTATCAGGATATGTTGTAAATAAATGTAACTATTGACACTGGCCTCCCAGTTGTCAAAGTTCTCGTCCTTCTTTCCCACGTACGCGTCTGGGAACTTAAGTTTCACTGGGTCCTTACGGGGTCTGGCCTCTCCTTCTACAGCGGCTGCAGCTTTGGCACCCTGAATGGCGCCCTCACAAAACTTCCCTACATTGTCCCTCAACTGTTTGACTTCGCCCCCAATGTGGGTGACGATTTCGCGCGCAAAATCCCTGAACCCGGACCGCATGGCACTCAACGCTACATCCTAGCTCTAGCTTGCCTGGCGCTCCTCCATCCAGGCCTTGCTCAGCACCTCTAGATACCCCAGTACTTTGTCCCACTTGGCCTTATCATCTGGCTGGGCCAGCACCTCCGCTCTACACTCCTGCACCTTGGCCACTGTTACGGTCATCTTATTCACTTCCTCTCTCCTTCTCTTCTTCTCCCTTTTCATTCTCAGCTTCCATGCTAACTTTTGCTCGTCTTCCCTCTCTCTTCGTTCCATCGGGTCTGTCATGGCTGCTAGCTCAGCGGCCAGCACAGCCTTCTCATCCTTAGTCACATATGACTCCACCTCCTCGTCTTCCCCCAACGATAAATTAGCGACCCACTCGCTGATCTTCTTCTCCAGCTCAGTATCTGTCTCCCACTTCATCGTGCCACCACTGCTCCCTTCTCCACTCTCAATTCTGATTCTCTCTTTCTCTTCTTCTGCTGCCGCTTCTGCTTCAGCAGCCTGCCTTCTTTCTTCCTCCTCTTGTTGTACTCTCTTCATCTCCTCCTCCAACTTCTTCAGCTTCGCCGCTTGCTCATCTGCGATAGCCTTTAGCTTCGCCTGCTTCTCGCGCTCTTTTCTCTCCTTGTTCTCTTTCACTAAGGCGGCCATCTTTGCTTGCTGCTCAGGGGTGTAGGGGCTAGTCTCCTTCCCACTACGGGTCTCAACCATGGTGATAAGTGTACAACCGGGTTAGTGGTTCCAAACCTCACCACGTAGGCTCTGACCCCTGACTGACAAACCTATAGACTCAATCTAAGACTTACAGAATCCTGACAAGGACCCTGTCAACTATGGTCTCTAGCCTAGACCTATGCTATGGCTGTCACTACTGAACCAGTGGCTGATTATACGACATTTAAGGAGATCCCCCGTAACTCCTCAAGAATTATTTAACGTCGCAGACAGGACGACGTGATCAGCTTGGTCTTGCCTGTGCTTTCAGCCCACAACTCAGCCTTTCCGGCCTACTGTGCCACACCGAGCAGCCCGCCGGTTTGTACCGGTCCTTGGGAGGGTTCGTATCCCCCGGGACAGTCGAGTCGTCAGACACAGATCATCAGCCTTACTTGGTCTGGTAGGGGAGTGGTTGAAACAGGCCCTCAACACTTAAAGACTGCCTGGTGTGTCAGCCCTAACTGCCGTTCAGGCCCACTGAGTCCTACCAACCGTTTCCAGCCGGTCAGCACCGGTCCTTGCGAGGGTTATGCCCCCCTAGAAAGTTGGATCAGCCACAGTCTTAGCCCTACAAGGTCAGACTAGGGTTTCGTCATCCAAGCCCTATCCCTCATCCACAGAGTACTATGACCTAGGACAGAAGAGACTCAATGCAGAAAGAATAGACAGATAGACTGTACTCAGCAAGTACCAAGGGGTATGTGCACATCCATAGGGCAAGGGGTAGGCTAAGGGCTTGGCGAGATGTTACCAACTCCAGCTTGGTCAAAGTCTTGGTCAACGGTCTTGGTCAACGCCGGTCAACTCTGCGTTCAACCCTCGGTCAACCCCCGGTCAACTCTGGTAACGCCGGTCAACACCCCCGGTCAACCCTCTCGGTCA